GTAGTTATAGTTGCAGTTTTCCTTAGATATAATAGCAAATAACTTAGGTATAAAATTTTGGATTTACTAAGAAGGATAGAGTATAGAGCATTTTCTTTAAATTTACCAGACACAAATGATTTGGAATTCAGTACATTGTGAATGTAATCTTTACTTGCTAATTGTTCTTACTGTATACAGTCTTGCAATGTTAAAGTTAAAACTTTTTTGTTTAGAAAGAAAAAAGGGAAAATGTTGGGGAATATGCTTTTAAGGTATGTAACTTTTGTTTATACTGCATTTGTTTAACTCTGTGAAGCAGTGATTCTTTGCCTGTCTAAAACATCTGATGGTCCTAATAAAGAGCTGAATGGTCAGTAGCGAAGCAGGAGCAAGGACAGGCGGGGCTGGCAGGCAGAGTGTCTAAATAGAAGGAGAAATCTGGGAGGAGACAGAAAGAGGAGCAAGAAAACAAGGAGAGGAGAACATCAGGGAGCAGCTACCCAGCTGCACAGCAAGCAATGGAGAAAGAAGTAAAGAAAGGTTTACAGAAATAAAGATAACAGCCCAGAGGCAAAAGGTAGTCAGGATAATTTAAGAAAAGCTGGAAAGATACAAGTTAGCTAAGGCTAGGCATTCATAAGAAATAATAAGTCTCCATGTGATTTATTTGGGAGCTGGTGGTGGGCCCTTTAAAAAGTCAAGAGTAAATGTCACACAATACACAGTCACTGCACCTGTGACATAATTCCCCAGTTTGATCACTCACTGTAAGCACACCTGATGAATCGTAGGCTAAGGTTTTCTGCATGTGTAAATGGCATGTTCACCATGGCCTGCTTTAACTTTCCTAGTGCAGTTAGGACCACCCGTCACACCAACCATTCATCTGCAAGTGGAAGACAGTGATTCTTTGGAAAGTCAGCGGAGCTTTCAAAGTCAGCTGACCCCAGGAAGGGCAGGGAGCAGGAGACGGTTGGGCACAGTGGCAAGCAGGGGTTCCAAGGCTGCTAGCATTGTGCTGTTTGCTCTGACTGATGGCCAGGGGGACACCATTATGCCCAGACAGCAGGCTGCCCTTCTCGCTGTCCTCCTGAAACCAGTGTGACAGGAACACGACAGGTATAAGTCCCACGGTCACCTGGTGGTCACACCATACAAGGGCACATGGACATAGGTACTCAGAACATCCAAGGGCACATGGACACAGGTAGTCACAACACCCAAGGGCACATGGACACAGGTGGTCACAACATCCAA